CCGCCGCGGCCCCCCGGCGGCCGCGGCGGCCGCGGCCGGGCGGCCCGTGACCGCGGCGGCCGCGGCGGCTCCCGGACCGCGACGACTCGCGGCCGACGAGGCGCGGGCGCGAGCGGCCGCGTCCGCGCGCATGTGTCCTTCACGCCCGGCCAGGTGTTGATGTCGCAGTGGCGCTCAGAAATTCGCTTTGGCCGAGTTGCCCTTGCCTTCCTCACCGCCCGACCGTACCTGAAGCACCCAATGGCTCCCAAGACGACGACGATCCTACTCGCCCTGGCCGCGACGGTCACCTGCGAGGCCTTCCAGCCCGTCCAGCTCCGTCCCGGCGCGAGCTACTCGAAGCACGGCCACCCCATGGGCGTTGCGCTGCGGTCCACGGGCGGCGACACGTCCGGCCCGCGGCCGGGCACAGCGGGCGTCTACGACACGGCCGCGCGTCCGCCCCGCGTCCCGCGGAAACGCAGACCCCGCTTTTAACCGCCCCGCGTGCCCCGCTCTTAGGTCGCGCTCGGCGCGGCGAAATGCGCGACGCCGCTCAAAACGATGACGACGCTCGCGTTCCTCAGCGGCGCGCACATCGCCCTCGGCGCCATGCTCGCCGTGTCCACGGGCGGCTCCGTTCCGGCCCTCAAGGCCCAGAACCCCGGCGCCGCGCGCGCGCTCATGGGCTCGTTCGGGTTGCCCATGGGCCTCCTCATGGTCCTCGGCGGCGGCGGCGAGCTCGTCACGGGCAACATGGCCGTGTGCTCCGCGGCCTGGCAGGCGAAGAAGGCCTCCTTCAAGCAGCTCATCACGAACCTCGGCGTCGTCTACGCGGGCAACCTCGTCGGGTCTTTGGCGGTCGCGTTCATCGCCAACATGGCCGCGACGGGCATCGCGCCCGGCGCGATCGCCGTCGCGAGCGGCAAGGTCGCCCAGACCTTCGGCGCCGCCTTCGCCAAGGGCATCCTCTGCAACTGGCTCGTCTGCATGGCCGTCTGGATGTCGACGGCGCACAACAGGGCAGAGCGAAATTCCCAACTTCAAAGGCTCCTATCTCGGCCGTTTTCCACTCGTTTCGGCTGATTTTTGGACGAGCGATCATCTCTCGGAACGATCTCGAAGCATGGATGCTTTTTCCGGAACGCGCGCGCGCGGAACACTCACGTTGAAGCGATGTTGAATCACTCTTTCCCTGCCCAGGCGCACAAGGACCTCGCGTCCAAGGCCGCGGCCGTCTTCTTCCCCATCTCCGGCTTCATCGCCTGCGGCTTCGAGCACTCCGTCGCCAACATGTTCCTCCTGCCCTTCGGCATCCTCCAGGGCGCCGACATCACCGTGGGCCAGGCCGTCGTCAAGAACCTCATCCCCGTGACGCTCGGCAACCTCGTCGGCGGCGCGATCTTCGTCGGGGCCTTCTACCACAACGCCTACGGCAAGTAGGCGCGCGGCCGCGCACTGCGGCGCCGCCGCCGCGGCCGCCGAAGGAGCCGCCGCGCGACGCCGCGCGCGACCAAGAAGAAGACACAAGAGCACGAATCCACCCGGGACCCGCGGCGCTAAGCAGCCCCGCGCTACCGCGCCTCGTTCCGGGGGGGGCGTGGCACGGCGCGTGGTTGGTTGGTGCCCAGTGATGGGACATCTGGACCTCTCAGTCTCGAGAGTTCTTTAAAACGTCAACAAAGCGCGCGCTTAAAAACGACGCCGTTTGTTCTTGCTCGGTGACGACGATGCTCCGCGACGTGACGAACCAGAGCGACGACCGCAGGAGGAGCGGCGGCAAGCGCGAGAGCACGCGGCGCCACCAATTCTACCGCGTCGAGAAGGACGACAAATGTGCAGGGAGTGGGACGAGCGGCGCCGGCCGGCGGGGCGCGGCGGCCGCCGAAGGCCACGGCGCCGGCCGGCGGGGCGCGGCGGCCGCCGAAGGCCGCGCCGCGTCGTCGACGCCCGCGCGCGGCGCGACGGCGTCGTGCCTCGCGTCCTACGCCGAGGCCGCGGACGCGCCGCCGCCGCCGGCGCTGCTCGCGCGGCCGCCGTCGGACGACGTCATCGACGCGCCGGCGGTCCTCGAGATCCCCGGCCGCGCGCGGCGCCCCGGGGTCGTCGGCGGCCTCTGCGCCTGGCCGCCGCCCGTCGACGCGCGGCGGGAGCTGCTCGCGGCGTCCGTCGTCGCCGCGGGCCTCGCGGCGCGCTTCGCGGCGCTCCGCCTGCTCGCGGAGCGCGGCGGCGACGGCGGCGGCGACGCCTACTACCCCCCCGCCTGGGTCCAGTAGGGTGCGAGCGGACTTTTTAAGCGACGGGGGGGGGAAGCGGGGGCTAGAAGGCGCGGTCGTGCGCGAGGCGGAAGCCGTGGGCCGTCGCCGTCCGCCACCAGCCGTCGAGCGAGTCCACGTCGACGGCGCCCGTCTCGTGGTCGCCCGTGCCCTCGCGCGCGTGGCAGATCGCCGCGGCGAGGCAGGCGGGGACCGTGCCCGCGACGTCGTGGCAGAACGTGAGGTCCGTGTCCTTGGCGGAGTAGGAGAGCGCGGCGCCGTTGACGTAGTCGTAGCGCGCGCGCTCGCGCGGCACGAGGTGCGGCACGGCGTAGTCGACGACGACGTCGCCCGGGCGCGTCGCCGCGTGGACGTCGGCCTCCCAGGCGAGCTTGCCCAGGAGCCAGAGCTTCGGGCAATGAGCGGACGCGTCCGCGAACGTCGCCGCGCGCGAGAGCCGAAAGCCCGCGTCGCCCGCGGCGGCCACGAGCGCCGCGTAGCGGTCCGGCGCCGTCGTGAGGCAGACGACGCGGTGGCCCCGCCGCGCCAGGGCGACGCAGAGCACGCGGCCGATCTTCGCCGTCGCGCCCGTGACGCAGATCGTCTCCTCCGTGCTCAGCGCGCGCCGCTTCACGGTCTCGAGGACCGCCGCGGCCGTGAGCGCGTTGCCGTGGACGATCTTCACGCCGTAGCCGCGCTCCTCCACGTAGGCCCGGACGGCCTCGCCGCCGCCGTTGAGCCACTCGGCCTTGTTGAGCGCCGCGAGGCCCACGTATTTGACGCCCGCGGCCTCGGCGGCGTCGACGGCGCGCTCGACGGCGCGCGCGATGGCCGGCCGCCGCGCCTTGGCGAGGTAGAAGCGCGCGGCGATGGGCAGGCACCAGGTCGCGGCCTCCGTGCCCCGGTAGCGGTAGCGCTGCATGACCGTCGCCGGCAGGAGACGCGCGCAGACCTCCGCGTACGCGTAGAGAACCGGGTAGGCCGCTTTCGAGACCCAGGAGGGCGCGTGGTCCCGCGACGTGAGGAAGGGCGAGAAGAAGGGCGTGTGCGTGAGCAGGGAGATGATGTCGTGGCCGTGCGCGAGGAAGACGACGTCCGTCGGCCGCTTCGGCCGGTCCCGCGCGAGGACGGCCGCGTGGAGCGCGTCGCTCGACGGGTGCGCGGTGCCGCAGAGGTAGTCCCAGAAGGGGCAGAAGAGGCAGTAGTTCCACTTGTACTTGGTGTGGTGCAGGCTGTGGTAGGACGACGTGTAGACGTAGTACTTCAAGACGCCGGCCTGGCACCAGCGCGGGAAGCACTCGAAGTTGCAGTGGCCCGCGCAGTTCATGGCGTCGAACCAGGCGAAGTAGAGCGGGATCTGGAGCGGGCTGAAGCGGCCGCACCAGGCGGGCACGAGGAAGGCGAGGCTGAAGTTCGCGAGGTACGCGACGGACTCCGCCAGCGGGTGCGACGTGCCCGACACGGCCTCGGTCGTCACGGAGCTGTGGTGGTGGCCGTGGCTCCTCTTGTAGGCCCACTCCCGGTGGAGCCAGACGTGGAAGGCGTAGTAGACGGGCTCGACGGCGAGGTAGTGCGCCGCGAAGAGCGCGAAGACGCAGCGGCCGTCGAAGGCCGCGACGCGGTCCGCGCGCAGCCACGGCGTCGCCAGGTCGACGACCACGAAGGCCAGCGGGCTCAGGATCACGGGGCCGTCCCAGTCGAGCTCCCGCTCGAGCTGGGCCGCCGGCGGGTTCCTGCGGTGGATCCTCCGGGGCTCCGCGAACGCGTCGGCCTTCGACAAAGCGACGAACGCGTGGTTCACGGCGTAGCGCAGCGCCGTCGCCCAGGCGAGCGTCGCCAGCAGGTGCGACCCGGCGCCCGTGGCCTTGCTGAGCGCCCAGGTCGCCGCGTAGATGCCGTACTTGGGGTCGAGCGGCAGCCACGAGCGCAGCGGCGACGGCGGCGGCGCCGCCGGCTTCGAAGGCGGCGCCAGGCGCTTCGACAGCTTCGGCGGCATCTCGCCGCCCTTGCCCATCGTGGAGGCAGTTGCGGTTGCACGCTCGGATTGAGCGCTGCGGTTGCAACGAGGCGCCGGCGCACGACGACGACGAGGTTGATCTCGTCAGACCTACGAGATCTCGTCGCTAGCACCGCTCCGCTGTGATTCAGACTTCAATTTGAAGCATGGCGGCGCGCGGCGTTGCCAGAGCCACGTGCGTGCGGCTCAGGGAGGAATCGAAGGGAGAGAGAACAGCGAAGGGTGGCGAAGGGAGAGCCACAAGCATAGTTAAACTAGGACTAGTCGAGCAACAAAAAAACAAAAAAACGCGTGCGGTCACATGTTCGCCGGCGCGACCTTCGCGGGTTGCCCCCAGAACTTGTCGGGACCCTCGGGGTGGGCTTGGCTGATGCAGCTGAAGACGAACGCGGTGAGCGGGCAGATGTAGAATAAACCAATGAGGACCTTGTAGAAGACGTCGTGCTGGTCGTGGAGCATGTCGCACTCCCAGTCCGTGGCGCGGTTCTCCTTGTTCTGTTCGGTGCGCCCCTCGTCGTCCTCGTTCGCAGGATCGGGCGCCGCCTTCCAGCAGTCCGCGCCCGTGTAGCCGCCCTCCTCCTGGGCCGGGCCGTCGTACGTGCCCTTGCCGTCCCATGTGCAGATCTCCGTCGCGAAGGGCCTGCGCGGGCGCGTCGGTCCGACCGGGCGGGGGGGGGGGGGGGGCCGCGCGCGCGCGCGCGGACGCCGGCGCCGGGCCCGCAGTCGCACCAGTCGTTCGCGATGCGCCAGACCTCCTCGGTGTCGCAGTAGGACGAGTGGCAGACGACGCGGCCGAGGTCCATCCCCGGGCAGCCCGCGGCGAGCGTGCCGGACGTGTAGACGTAGCCGCGGTACTCGACGGGCTTCTCGGCCGCGTCGTCCTCGTCGCCGCGAGCACGGCGGGGTAGACGCTCGGCGTCGCGTCCTCGGCCGGCG